TAAGACACATGGTTAAATAAAAAAAGCAAAGTGCAGAACTTGACCTTTATCGTAGTATGTTGGAAATTAGATAATAGAGTTGCATTTGGTTTTGTGCACATAAACACTGGAAGGATACACAACAAACAAAGGCAACTAAATGTTGCCAGGGGTGAGGAGGCTGTGGGTAGGAGGTTTTCACTGTATGCCTTTTAGTATACAATGTTAGAGTTTGAACCATGGGCAGGTATTACCTATTCACAAATTAAATTAATACTTATCTGAGAAGAGACTAATGGTATTCACATGGCCAAGGAACTAAAGACCTGTGACTTATTTTGCACATAGATCTTCAGTAGTTGTGTGACATATTGTATTACTGTGGAAGGACTCTAGGGTTCAGTTGTGCAATGGGTCTGGCCTAGAGTGGAGTAAGGAAGGTTGAGGGCAAGGGTTGCCCACTGTGCATGAGGCAGCCTGCTTAGAATGGCATATCAGAAATGGAAGGTCCCGGTGGGGCCAGATGAGCAATAGGAAAACAAACGTAGGTGGGATGCCAGTCTGAATTATGACTAACATGCCACCTGCCTTCAGGAATGGGGACAAAACCACAATGCTTTTATGACATAGGTGGTGATGATAAAGGAGTAAGAATAACTGAGGAGAGAGAGAAGCCCCAAGTTATCTTTTGTTGTTGCTGTTAGTGGGTTTTTTGTTTGGTTTGGTTTTGGTTTTGGTGGGGGTGATGGATTTGGAACGAGGATTTATTTCTAATCTAAACAAAGGGTTTAGCACCAAGCTTATGAGGAGTGGTCTGTACAGAGAGAATGACGTTAGCCATCTTAGGAGGGACGGAGTTAATGTCAGGGCTGTGACTTGGAGATTTAAGGGGCGGGTGCTCCCTGTACTTGCCACTCATTGCAGGAGACTGAGCCACTTAGAGGCACCAGGGCGTTCTGATTCCCGTGATCCAGCATATGGGAGACAAATGTCAGAGGGACAGGGTAATCTTTGGTATCGGCTGTGATCTGCTAACAATCCAGGCACCCCCTGGTCCGGAAGGAATGGTCTCCCCAGGGTTATTCACAGGGGCTGGGGGCGGATGGGCAAGACTGCTCCCACCCAGCCTGCGACTCTGAGATCTGTGGAGCGTGGGCCGAGCCTCCTGGGATGCCCTATACTTAGAGTCTGGTGGAGGAGAACCACTCCCCCAAGGCTGCAGCTCCCCGGGGCCAGCCCACAGGGAGCAGTGTGTCATTAGCGGGAAGGCACTAATGATCCAAGGCTCCCTGCTCTGGGCACGGGGCAAAGCATTTGGGGACATCCATCTCCTTCCCTCTCACCACACAGTTTGAATCACATTTTCCTCTTCCTGGGTATCTTGAAGCTTGGTGTGAATATCTCGGAGTACTTTTAGAAATCCTTTAAAGGAAGGTGCGACGGAAGGGCAAGGTCTTACTATCAACACTGTAAAATATCTTAACCACAACAGAAGATGGAACATAGATGCACATTTCAACTTCTAATATTCCTCAGAGAACGATTTGAGGGTTAAGAATGGTAAGTGCAAGGGTGAGAAGAGAAGCCAGTAGTGGAGGAAAAAACAAAGAATGAGTTCAGCCCCAGTAAGAAGACCTCCCTACTCGGCTGCCCCACTGGAGTGGTGACGCCCACTCACACGGAGCCTGAAGCCAGACAGGGACGGTCCCCGCTCCAGCGCCATCTACACACATGTGACAACTGGAAGATGGAACCCATCCTTTGTGCAAGAAGCAAGCTGCTTCTGGGCGTGCTGCCGTCCCATCAGCACACAGGCTCTAGGACATGCCAGCCTGACAGCCCACTGTTGCAGAGGGAGGGGACCATGGGGCCTTCCCCAGACAGCGCCACGATCTGCCTGTGGTTGACAAGCGCCTGGGTGACCCTGGAGCTGGCTAGAGCTGGGGGAGAGAGTGAAGAGGGGACAGAGTGATGCATGTCCAGTGGGGTTGCTCACCACCCCAGCACCTGGGAATTTTGCTGGCAAGGATAAGCAGCTGAGCTGAATTAAGAGCAGTTCCTTAATTGCTCCGGAGCAATAGCTGCAGTTAAAAATTCATAATAACTATCAGCTGCGAATAAATGATGTTCCAGGCACAGTGCTAAAGGCAACCTATACATTTTCTCATTTAATCTGCCAAACGACCCTGCGAGGTTAGTGTTGCCACCCCCATTTACAGATGATGCTGAGAGTGTCAGTGACTTTCCCCAAGACACTCCAGTAAGTGGCAAGGCCAAGGGTCTGAATGCCAGAATTTTAATGCCCAAGGCTGTTTTGACTACAATGCTATGTGGCCTCGCCAAGGATTAAAAAGCTGTGTCTTAACTTTTGTTGTTTTCTTCATTATTCTAGACCTGAACACAATGCATCCAGAATGCTATTGTCAGAGATAAGGGAGGAAACTGCTTTCTTCCAATCATACAACTCGGGTTTTGACCCATGCTTGTAAATGGAGGTAACCCAAAAGAAAAGCCACTTTTAAGTCGTGGAAATGTGTACCGAGCTCTGTCTTCTCCACCTGGCCCATCCCGCTCAGGCATCCATATCTGGTGCCTCTCCTGGACTGTCTCTGGTCTCTCTCCACTTTCCAGTCTGTACTCCAGACTGTGGACAGAAACAACTTTGAAAAACGTGTTTGAAAATCTCCACGGCTCCCAACTGCCTCCGGGATCGAGTCCTTTCCCTGCTGGGCAGCCACTTCCCCAGCCCCTCTCTGCCGCGCTCCCGCGTGATCCAGCCCAAGCTGGATGGCTCTGTGCCCTGAACACCATGTGTACTTTCACGCCTTACTGTTATTATTAGCCCTTGCTAGTCCCTCTCCCTGTGACGGCCTTATCTTACCTTCTTTCTCCGCTGGCAAATGGCTGTACTCCAAAGCCCAGGTCAGATGTCACCATCTCTCCCTCAGCCTCCCAGCCAAGTAGAAGTGATTACGCCACTCACCTGGCCCCCGCCATGGCACCTAGTACACCGGTATGTCATACTATCAATTAGAGTACATTCTTCTACATAGCTGGATCCTGTTTCCCATTAATTAGGGCAGGAGTAAAAACCATTTCTTGCCATCTTGGTTTCCAGAGGCCCTGGTATAAGGCAAATGCTCTGTCTTTAGAAGGAACGGATGTAGGCACATGCAAAGGAACTCTGCTCACACAGCACCCCAGTTAGCGATGCTCTCAAAGGATTCCACCAATATGTGGGTAATTGGGCTGGTGGGCTTTAAGTTCCTTCTCTGCACCAACACGGTCAAGTAACAAGGAAATTGAGAGCTCGATCTTATTCCATGAAAGAGATCAAAGGGAGAAAATAGCAACCCCTAATTTCCACCAGAGCACCTTTGCTTCTCCCTCTTGTAGAGAGTTTTGCTTGGATAGGGGCAAAGCCTCTGTTGCTAAAAATAGATTTAAAAAGCTCTGGTTGAGATGGCCTTGTCCTTTATTACCCCATGCCTAAATATCTGTAAGAACTTCCTAGCTGGTTTTCTAGGCTCTAGTCTTTTCCTCCTCCATCCACATGCATCTTGCTGCCAGATGAGATTTTTAAAAGTATTATTTGAATTATGAAGAGTTTCTATGTAACATGTTAGTTATGAAACATAATTGCATGATAAATATAACCAACCAACCATTCAGCCCTAGAACATTAGCGGCAGCTTGCATCCATCTCTATATGCCTCACCTGTCTCAACCACTGGCCTAATTAATACCTGAAGCTAATCCCTGTCGTTAACTTTGATTCCAAAACGCATGCCTTGATGTTCTTAGCCTGTTTATTTTGTTGTTACATAGTATTCCACTGTGTGCCATACCAGAGTTATTTACCCCTTCTCCTGCCAACCAACTGGGATTGTTTCCAATGTTATGGGTAATGTGGCTATGAACATTCTTAGTGCACAAGTACATTTGTACATTTCTAGAAGTGAGGTCATAGGGTATGCAAATGTTCAACCTTGTGAAATAATGTCAAAATTTCTTAAAAGGGCTCTACTAGCCAGATGAATTTTCTACAAATCCCCGTTTTCCCTGCTAAAAAATAATTCAATGTAACTGCTACTTGCAAGATAAAATCCAAAAGGGCTCTTCCTTGCCAGTTAGTCTGGCCCCAACCTCTCACAGCCCCCAAATACCCTCTACTTCAGTTGGGCAGATCTGTTTTTGGATGTAGAACACACCTTACTCATTTTCGTTTCTTTTTAAAATTTATTTATTTGAAAGACAGACAGCACACACAAGCAGGGGGAGGGGCATAGGGAGAGGGAGAAGCAGGCTCCCTGCTAGCAGGGAGCCTGATGCAGGGTTCAATCCCAGGACCCTGAGGTCATGGCCTGAGCCAAAGACACTTAACCGAGTCACTCAGGTGCCCCATTCATCTTCTTTTCTTTCCTTTTTTTTTTAGGGGGGGGAGAGGGAGTGAGGGGGGAGGAGCAAAGGGAGAGGGAGAGAGAATCTTTTATTTTTTAATTTTTAATTTTTTAAAGATTTTATTTATTTGACACGGGGCGGGGCGGGGGGCAGCAAAGTGAGAGGGAGAAGCAGGCTCCCCCACCAAGCAGGGAGCCTGATGCAGGGCTCAATCCCAGGATCCTGGGATCATGACCTGAGCTGAAATCAAGAGTTGGACACTTAACCGACTGAGCCACCCAGGCTCCCTAGGAGAATCTTAAGTAGGCTCCACACCCAGTGTGGAGCTGGACAGGAGGCTTGATCTCAAAATCCTGAGATCATGACTAAAGCAGAAATCAAGAGTCCGACACTTAACTGACTGAGCCAGCCAGGTGCCCCAGGAAAATTACGTTCAACTCAATCATGTTTTCAGATTTGCTTCTGTCTCTGAAACAGGTCTATTTTCATCATGATTGTAAGTGGGAAATAATTTAAACAACCTTTTCACTACCCGCCTTCCTAAAAGACACTACAGTGTATAAAATTTGAGGCAGAAACAAACTATATTAGCTTCCAATAAAAAAGTAAAATTCAATCTATTAGTATGAAATATTTTGAGATAATTTATTGTGTTGGTGACCCAAGTACATGATTCTCAAAGATAAAAATGTGTTTTAGCCTAATCATACAATCACTTAGTGAAACTGCTGTTTATTGGACTCCGAGAAAAGCAGGAAGGCACTTTCTCTTTTTGTAGAGATGCTATATTGAAGATACTGCTTAATGGAGCATTTCTTTGATGGAGTTTACTCTGCTTTTCTTTTGTCAGATTCCTCTTCCTCAAACTCGATTAAAGGTTCGTGTCTGTTGGCCTGAGAACCTTCTTTGTAGAACACTTTCTTGATCGTGCCATCCTTTGGAGCCTTTATGGTGTGCTGCAGGGACACAAGACATGACAACGATTGCAATACCAATGAAGACTGAGCACGCAGCATGGCAAGAGAGAAGAAAAGTGAAAAATAAAGCCAGTTGTTCTGATGTTTGTCAAGCTTTTTTATACCACAGCACCCAGAGAAAAATAACCTTTTTATGGTGTGCTTTGGAGTTGTGAGGAGTCACTATTCTACATACCTGCAACATACTCAAGGTCACTGATCAGGAAGCTCTGGCCTATTGGTAATTCACAACAAGCTTCACCACAGTCTCACTTGAGAAGCTGTTAAAAACTACCGATCCTCGGGCCCCACTCCAGGGGATCCCAATTCAGCCAGTCTGGGGAAGTAGTTTTGAAAAGCCTTCCCCATCAGGGGATTGTAATATGTGGCCAGGCTAAGAACTACTGGCCTACAATTTCCAACCATCTACAAACCTCAACAGCTCATCTAGTTTGACTGAGGTTTCACCTTGATACTGATGTTTGGCATCCCAAGTTTGGCCTTAGAAAATACCAAGTTTAACAATCAGCTGGGGGGAACTGCCTGAATTTAAGCTATTGATAATTTCTTTAATTTCAGTATCAGAATGGACAGGTGCAGTTTCACAAAATTAAAATGAAAATGTATTTAAAAGAAGGGTGGTTTGGTTTTATGTCTTGCAGTTAATGCTTCCATCAACCTGTGGCTCTTAATATTTAAAATGGTATTAACTTATAAAAAAAAAAAAAATTAGGTCTGAAAGTTCCCAAAGTTTAATTGGCAAGTGAACTTGTGATTTCATTACCTCCATTTTCATGGCAAGCATAACCATTAGAGAATCTCCAGCTTTTACTCTGTCTCCAACTTTCACAAATATCTAGAAATTAAGAGTGACAGGTTAATATTGAAAAACACAGAGGTCCCTCGTGGTCCACAGAGTTGGAGTACGAATGTACACAGTGAAAGTATGGATCTATGTGGTTGTCTTATCTGCCAAAGACAGGTGTGCTGAGGCAAATCAGAGACCTACAGGTCAATCTGTGTTGCTGGGCCTCTTGTCAGTAGGAAACACTGCTTAGCTCCTCACCTCCATCCCCAAACCATCTAGTTTTCCTTGAATCAGATGAATATGCTTTATATATCTTGAGATCCTTTTGTGTTTTCATGAATGTACAGACAAGCCATACCACCACCAAGGAAGAACCAACATACGTAAATGTCATAGGCAGGGTGGAGGGTCACACCTTGTTTCCTAGATTTTATAGGTGGTCTAGGATAGTGCTCCAAGTTTTGAGGCCCCTGTGTGGTAAATGCATAGATGACTATCTTCATGTGAAAGAATTAAACTTATTGGCAACCCTGGAAAAAAATCTTTATTTTCCTTTTTACATGTATAAATGAACTCATATATATCTCATGTCTCAGCTGTCTTCCTGGTTAACATGGTGAGGAAGCAGTTTTTGGAAACATCACACAGTGGAGTTAGGTTCTAAAGTCAATGTGTAGAGCCCAAAGTGTGAAAAATGAGAAACACCTCTGAAAGCCCCCAAATCACCCAATGCTGGGTGATGCTATAATAGTGCTTGATGAAATGCATGGTCTAGAGGGCAGCTATGGGGAAAATGTGCATCTTCTGCCACAGATGTGCAGGGATGCCCACATTATGGAATGTCCATGGGAACAGAGACTGAGTGATCCAAATCTCTGAGTTCATACTCCCTCTGGGGCAAACATCTGTAGAGGGGAATGGTGGGTACAATCACTTTCACTACTTAAATGGTTATTTTCTTCTCCTTCTTTTTGGGTACCAAGAATATAGTGTTGAATTTTTATGACTTAGATGCAATTAAAGGGACTCTACTATATTCAAGTGTATAAAAAGGTTACTACTGATCCGCCACCATTTGAAGTTATTTCAGTATGGATCATAACTCTGAATACATATAGCATTCAACACCAAACCTCGTTGTTCTTCACCAGTAGCAGCCTTTCAAATTTCATTTTAACACACATGGAATTATGTACATTAGAAAAACTGTTACTTCACGGTAAATTGTTTGCTGTTACGTTTAACATTAAAAAACAGACCTTTTGGATAATGCTTGGTGAATGTTCCATTTTAATCATAAAACGACAAATTTAGATTATTTGTACTTTGATGGAAATTCCCACTTTCAAAAATAACAGTATCATAAATTAGGTAAATGGGTATTTTCATTGAAGACTGAACATAGAACTGGAATCTGTCATACAGTCTCTTGTTTTCTTTCTTTTTTTAAGGTTTTATTTTTAAGTAATCTCTACACACAACATGGGGCTTGAACTTACAACGCCAAGACACATGCTCTATCGACTGAGCCAGCCAGGTGGCCCAGTCTCTTGTTTTCTTGAATAGGATGCTTTCCAATGAGAAAGATTTGGAGAGGGAAAAATGATGTATATGCCATTTACTGGGCCTTACTGAACATCCTTCTACATACATTCACATGATTACCTTTTCAATGGTACCCGTCATAGGAGCTATGGTACCTTCCTGAGTTCCATCTGAGCTCATTGAAGACAAGTATTTGGGGACTGGAATGCCAATCTGAGTACTTCCTTCCTATAAATAGAAACCAAACTGGAAATGAAATCAAGATCAAATCACTGTAGTTTTATTAATATACCTAGGGTAATGACTGTCTTCAAGCTATTTGTTAAATATTAGTCATCTTTAATACCAGGGTTCCAATCAAGCTTTGTGACCTTAAGCAAATTACTAACCCCCTCTCAGTCTTGGTTTCCCATTATAAAGGAGTAATGGCATCATGCCTCACAGGGGATTAAAGGAATTAATGTATATAACTGTTGATAACAGATAGCCACCATCTGAAAGCCATTTTGAGTAGCATCCCCACTATCAAGGGCTTAGTCTAAGCTAGGAACTGTTCTTAACAGTTATATATATATATATGTATATAGAGAGAGAGAGAGTGTGTGTGTGTGTGTCATTGATCATCACAGCAAGCTTACGAGGTAGGCAGGTACTGTTATTTTTCCTGTTTAGAGAAGGGGAAACTGAAGCCAGAGAGTTTAACTTGCCCTAGCTCACACAGCTGCCGAGGTAGAGCCGGGATTTCACATTCCAGAACTCCTACTCGTCACCACTCCACCATACTGCCTCCACCACCATATTGTTACCAGAGTAACTATGGGAAGGAATGCCTGATCAAGTGAGATCATCCTTGATTCTGTATAAAGTAAATTACCGGAATACTAAAGGCATCTCATCACAAAGGAGTATGATCTGTAAGATGGTTCTCAAATGTGAGAAGACTCTGAAGAGGCCACAGTGTATCTGATAATCCATTTTCTTTTCTGCCCATGCAGAAACTACGGGCTCATCAGGCAGCAGGCTCCTAACTGGGAGCAATGAGTCAGGAGACATGCTCCTACCCAAATCTATGCCACGCCTGCCTCAATCATCAACCATCCTTTGACTGCCAAGACACCACCATTAACCCCCACTACCTTCCTACTGCCCACCTTCCCCACAAGGAATATTGGCTCCACAGACTCTTTCCTCAATGGTCACCTCCTCCCAAATCCCCAGAATTCCAAGTGCCAGGAGGATGGGGTTGGGAAAGTATTCAGGCACCAAATCCCTGAGAAAATACTGCGCACTGGGCAGCGAGACACCCTCTGACAAGAAGGGTGTAAGGACGTGTTTCAGAATTAAAGGAAAAAAATGAGTATGTATCTATCAGTGAGGAGCTGTGTGAACAAAAGAACCAGGGAAGGCAGGAATGTGGCAAAGAAACAGAGTGGAGTGGGGGACACAGAGGAAAGGTCACAGCAGTGATGGAAGGAAGCAGGGTCTTTCTAATGTTTCAGTGGGATGCCTCTGGTCAAGCAATGTTCTCCCAAACTTCAACATTGTTATTATAAAAAAAGAGACATTACCATGGAAAATAAGTAAATAGTGTTTTCCAGGATAATTAGCTTAGTTTTACTAACAACTCCATTAACAGAACATTTCAGGTAAGTGCAGTCTCCCTCAGTACAAAGATCACCACGGACTTGGAAAGTTTTATCTTCAATCTGAAAATAAAAACAGAAAAATTAGATCCTTAAAAATGAATAAACAACCCTACAGAATTCATAAAATCAGAATTCTTTACTATTAATAGTTTCAAAAGGAAACAGGTGAAGTATTTTTTTAAAAAGCCATGTATGAACTTTCCCCTAAGTTTCATAAACAAAGTTCTCTAGATAGAAACAGCACAAGATAATTAAAAAAACAGATAACTTATCTACAGCACCATGCTACAGATAAATGTTCACTTAAGAATAACAATAAAAACATGAAATAGAAATACAAATTAAGCAAGATTATTAAAATTCAGTTGACTCTATTACATTCTGGTATTCATTTCTGAGTACCTGAAGTCAAATTTGGTTTTACTATGCCAATGTGAGTAAAGAAAAAAGCCACAACCACACAATTACATGGTGTATCTTTTATCTCCCCAACATGTAGATAAAATTTATGGGTTTCAGTTTTGAGTTTAAGAAGATAAATTAGCTGGAGACTGGCCACAGTTTTCTCACTGTAAGAGAGAATGCCAAACAACAGATTTCACACTTGATCTTTCAAGGAAGCTGACAAAGGGACATGAAACCTTTCTGTTTTAAAAAATATTTTCTCACATATACTAAACTCAAGAAAAAAAATTCCTCTACACACAGGAAATCCATTTAAATCTTCTCTATTTTTCATTTCAGTTCCCACGAGGTCATTGTCCAAGTCCTGTGGCTATTCTTTTCAAATATATTATAGAGGCTAAGGTGAACCAGGTTACATTGCAGTATTTATACACCGGTTCTCATCTATCCTAAGTTAAATATGACATTTACTGGGCTCTGTAAACTACTAAAACAGCCGTTTGAATGTTTGTGAAATTCTCAGGACATAAAGGTTAGATCGGGAACAGTTTTGTTTAAAGGTTTACACAAGCGCATTCTAAATTTGTGAATGTAGTTCAAAGAGCAGATTAGAACAAATCTATAGTTGACTTTACCAAGGGAATAAGAAAGGGATCCCCAAACCAGAGGTACTGATATGAATTACAACTCTCCTGTACTAAAATAGGTAGACTTTCCAGTTTTTCTGAATCTCAGTGAAACAAAATGGTATTTCATGGCATTGGCAGATCCACAGCATATCCTCAATCAATTCTTTTTGTAGGACTTAAAGTCTCTTGGCTCATATTAAAAATGATTTATTCTGCTCTCTGAATTTGTACCTATTTATGAATTTGGTTGAGTTCTCACATTATTGTTTTTGTTTTTTAATCCCTTTCAGCATTTCATTTTGCCAGGGTAATGGACTTTTCAATTGAGGACTATCATGAACACTTTCACCAGAGATTCTCAAAGTACGACCTTGGGGTCCCCAAGACCCTTTTCAGGGTCCACAAAGTCAAACTACTTCATAATAATACTAATGTTACTTGCCCTTTTTTACCCTCATTCTCTCATGAATATACAGTAGGATTTTCTAGAGATTGCAGGACATGTGATAATGTTACCCTGACAGCTAATGGAACATGTGCTTGTATAATCTTAGGTTTTAAATTTTCTCAGTTTATCCTACAACTCAACAACAACAAAAAACCAACCTGATTTAAAAAAACAAGAGGCAAAGGACTTGAATAGACATTTCTCCAAAGAAGATATACAAATGGCCAATTAGCATATGAAAAGATGCTCAACAACATTATTCATTATGGAAATGCAAATCAAAACCACAGTGAGATAACACTTCATGCCCATTAGGATGGCTATTATAAAAAAGAAAAAAGAAACAAAATCAATGTGGGCGAGGATGCAGAGAAAAGGGAACCCTTGTGACTGATGGTAGGAACGTAAAATGGTGCAGCCACTGTGGAAAACAGTATGGTAGTTCCTCAAAAAATTAAAAATATGATCCAGCAATTCTATTTATGGGTATATGCCCAAAAGGATTGAAAACAGGGTCTCAAAGAGGTATTTGTCCCCCATGTACATAGCGGCATTATCCACAACAGGCAAAAGGTGGAAGCAACCCAAGTCTCCATCAAGAGATGAATGAACAAACAAAGTGTGGTATATAGAGGCAATGGAATATCATTCCACTTCAAAAAGGAAGGAATCTTGGACACATGCTACAACGTAGAAGAACCTTACAGACATGCTAAGTGAAATAGCCAATCACAAAGGGCAAATGTTGAATGATTTCATTTATATGAGGTACTTAAAGTGGTCAAATTCATAGACACCGAAAAGTAGGATGGTGGTTGCCAGAGGCTGGGAGCGGGGGAGGCGGAAAGGGGCAAGTGGAGTGTATTGTTTAATGGGTACAGAGTGTCAATTTTGCAAGAGGAGAAAAGAGGAGACGGGTGGTGGTGATGCTTGTAAAACAAATGTTAATATAATGTCTTTAACTCCAAAATGTTTAATATGGTAAATTTTACATATAATTTTTAAAATATACATTAAAAAGAACAGTAAGAAATAAAAGCATGCTCGGTCTAACTTCCTAAATGGTAAATATTAATACATGTAATTAACACAAACAAGAGCTCTTCGGGGAGTCTTAATAATTTTTAAAGGTGTACATGGATTTTGAGACCAAAAAGTTTGAGAATGGCTGCTTTCAATGTAAATACATGCACATACTTTAGAGACTTGTCAGGCGTCTGATTCAAAGCTATTATTACTATTTTTTTTTTCTTTTACCAAGTTTTCATTCTTAAGGGAACCACAGACAAATTGAGGAGACAATCAGAACTGTAGCGGGGGTAATTTCCCCAAATTGGTCTGAAATAAAAGCACATGACATCCTCCTAACTATAGTCATACTGGTCACCGGCTTAGGAGAACCCAGAGTGTGAAAAAAAGACCCTCCTCGGTATGAGAGAGATCAGATTTAGCTTTAAACTGTAGAACAAAACCAGTTAGACTTACCCGCATGCTATACGACCCATCACGGTTATATGTTACAGCTATGTCTACATCTTTATGGAAAAGGGGGGAAAGTTGAAGAAAAATTAGAAGACATTCATTTATTCAGTAACTGACATTCTACAGATCTCTTTCAACCTAAAAGATATCAACATCTTTTAACTACCTGACAATAAAGATAAAAAAAAAAATCTATAGGCAGGTTCCAAAAAAGGTGAATTTCAAAGTTTTCTTTTTCTTTTTTTTTTTAAATGGAGTTTTAGCAGTCCCTTAACTATAGAGAATAAACTGGTGGTTACGG